CAAGATTCATGGATCCAAAGGCGCAGGAATTCGCTCGTAATTGCGTCGAAATGGCTAAGAAATGGTAAACATTTACACCACGTTAACTCTATAAAACTGAGTTGCTCGTGTTATCGACAAACCTCGCAGCATCGCCGAAACTTTTATTTACCGATTTGCTACCGCCACTGGCGAAGTGTAAAACAGATATACCTCGTTCGTTTAACGAAAGAATGCGAGAGATTAACGAAAAACGTGACGAGAGCTTTAGAGTCTCTTACCAAATTCAGCGTGAAATCCATCGTTATTAATTAGGAATGATCTCTAACATTGAATTATGCTGAGTAGAAGAAGAAAATTCTATGACAGGAAATATATAGAAAATACAAATGCTTGTATGTTTGTGTGTATATAATATTGTAACATAAACTGTTCGTATAACAGAATGTTTACACGACGAGAGTTCACATAATAGAGCAATTTTTAATATATATTAAGTAGAGTGGACATTTTTGAAATTTCATAGTTTTGTAAAACTAATAGAATCTGCTAAACACATATATAAAATAAATATACAAAATTTCAAAAATTATAATTGTATTTTCCAATTGTAATTCTATTTTTAAAGATACCTAAAATAATGTCATTGTAATAAATTTGTATTTTTCATCAATTATATAATCGCCTAATCGACAGCCTTTTGCCATTTAGTGTGCAAATTTTCAATACCAGCTCGATAAACATCAATCAGCTGATGAATAAACAAACAAGTATTTAAATTTGCGAAAACACTATCTCGAATAATTTTAGTTTCATAAAATTCCCAAAAGTATTTCATCGCATTCGGTGTCTGCACATCGCATTATCCGTTCAATTCTAATACGCTACGTTGGATCAGACGCAGTGAAACTGTTCCGCAGTCGAAAGTGATAAAGCTACTTGGCGTTGTCGCTCGATCAGTCACGAATGTGATACTGGAGCAGAAATTCGGTTAAACTCGGGTTTTGCGAATTAATCGCGCAGAGGAAGTTCAAGTGGTCGCGCCGAAGATTACTCGAAGTTTGCTCGAAACTCTTGGATAGAGCGAGGGCTCCTTCGAATCCGACAAGATATCCGTTTAGCTCTCTTCCTCCTGACAAGGACCTCTCGAAGCGTGTCGTTGAAATCTTAACGAAACTTTGTAATCAAATGAATACTTCGATCGTTTAATATTTACTATATATAATCATATACAATCGTCATATTACGAATTTTAAATATTTAAATACCTAAATATTTAGATCGAGAATAAAGCATCTCAAATTGATCGCAAATCATAGAAAGCAAATATAAAAATTGAATCTCTGTCGAACAGTTATTATATTACGAATTTAAAATATTTAAATATGTAACTCTACATAATTTATTAATACTGAAAGTCATATTTAGATCGAGAATAAAGCATCTCAAATTGATCGCAAATCATAGAAAGAAAACATAAAAATTGAATCTCGGTCAAAGAATTATTATACTACAAATTTTAAATATTTAAATATGTAACTCTACATAATTCATTAATACTGAAAGTCATATCGAGAATAAAGTATCTGGAATTGATTACAAACGAGCGAAAGGAAATGTAAAAATTGAATCTCGGTCGAACGGTACGAGAGGTAAGGGAGTGATAGAGTAGCGAGAGGCGATTGGTTATAAATCGTGTTCCAAATGGATTAATTATTTTCCAGCGGTATCATCTTACCTTCGAACCTTTCTTTCTCGACTTGTCGCGCGCACTTCGATCCTGTAATTAAAAGGTGCCACGTTTCACGGTGATCGATGAAGAACGCGAGCCTTCGGCCCTGTTCGTAATACGTCCAGAACCATATCTCCGCAAGCGATGGCGATTCGTCGAAAACTCGTGGAATAATCGGGGTTGAAACTGATAGGCACTTCGCGTGAATGAACTAAAATTACCTCTTTAATTAACCAACGAACTTTTGAAATAATTAAGAGTTTCCACGAGCCCTTTCCCGCACGAATTTACCAATTATCGAGTGAAGTTAACCCTTTCGTTGTTTTAGAAATATGGGTCGAAGTGTAACAGTTTTCTTATTAATTTAAAGTTAGTTACTGCTGCCAAATTCTATTTATCGTATCCTAACGAACTGTATTATTTTTCAAATTGAAATAACCAAATTTTTAAGTGACACTTTTAAGATTAATCTAAACGAAGTAGCGAAGAATTTTTAATTCCGTGGACACAAAATCTTAACCTCCACTCCATCACTCAGTCGCTCAACGTGTTAAACAAATTAAATGCCCAAGTATTTTATAAATTATAAATAACTCGCGGAATAAGTAGTGTTCGCCGAAGCTGTGTCTTTTTTCTTATATTAATAGCAAGCTCTTTCGTCGATTAAAATTTTTTAATCCGCATTCTAGACTTTCACCTGTCTAAATTTTCCGTTAAAACTTTCAGTCAAGGGCCACGAAAACGGGGAAAAACAAATGGATCGTCGAAATTCTACCTCGTGAAGTGGAGGACGACGAATCGGAGCAAACTCAACAAAAGGAAAAAGAACCGAAAATCAAGCGACTTTTTTTTCGACTGCGTACAACGTCGACTCGATCGAAGACTGAGAAGGTTGAAGCTCTGTACTTGTATCCCCGCGTAACGCTCTTCGGCGTGTCACTTACCGTGAGAATTCTAATTGAATTCCAAGTGGATTCGCAAACGTAACAACGAACGCGACGGGATCTGCAGGTTTCGCATTGCTGGACGGTTTCTAGAAAATCCCCCTCCTATCGACGAATACGCTCGGAATGGAACGAGAAATAAATACAAATTAACAAGCGGTGCTATTTTTGCAAATGAATATTCAAATTAGAAGGGAAACGCGTAGAAGATCTTCTTGATGGCGGACAGAGAAAAACTGTGCGAACAGGAAGCATATACGCGCCGCTTTATCTTCTACGATAAGTGTCCTACTTCCTGTACAGGATATATTAACGTTTAAAAATAAATGTTATGATAACAAAAGAAAATAACAGCAACAAAACATATATATATGGTAAAATAACAAATTTCTAAATAAGAGTGTAGGGAAAAAAATATTTCCATTTGTTGGACTTGGGAGTTCCAAAAATAAAACTTTAGATGAAGATTTTTTGTAACAGTTAAAAATACATTTCAAGTAATACACAATTTCTTTTTTATAATAAAAAATGACAAGAATTCGAAATTGGAGAGAAATTGAATGGCGAGTTGCGTCGCTACTACATATTTAAAATTAACAGTCAATGCAGGAATGATCTCGTTGATAGAATTAAAGAGAATTCGCGTTGATAGGACCGTGATTTATAGCAGGGCGGGTTTTCGGGTCTCGCATATCCGCGCGTCCCTCCGTGTACGTACAAAAGGTTGTCTAACCTGTCGAGCTGGACGCGTGATCCATCTCCAGCGGTGTGACATGTTTCACAAAGCTTTCATACATTTGTAAATTCCTGACTAGTACTTCAATCTCCTAAAAAGTGCCGGGGAAAAGTTCATTTTTCGGTATTGTTGCTTTGATATTCCCTCTGAAGGGTACACTCTTTGTTTTGGAACTGTTTCGAGGCAATTTTCATGATTTTATTTCCAACCATAGGACGTGAACTTTCGAAATTTCATATATTTATTTATATAAGTGTGTGGTAGAATCTATTAGTTTAACAATTCCATTTTGAAACATACCTAAAATATTTTCAGAATTAACAGAAAATTAAGTAAATTATTTCTCAAAAGTACTCTTTGTCTTCAACCAGTTTCGAGGCAATTTTCATGATTTTTTATGCTGCCATAGGACTCGATGTAAACTTTTAAAATTTCCTATATTTGTTTACATACGTGTATAGCAGATTCTATTAGTTTTATAATTGCATTTTCAAAGATACCTAAAATATTTTCAGAATTAACAGTAAAATTCAGTACATTTTTTTCTGAAAAAGAAATATGGAGAACACTCAATATTTGGCCTCCTAATGTGCTTCTCTCCCTTAACCATAGCGATCCAGCCAATTTCGTGGAACGACGGTGATTAAGAAGATCTAATCCGATGGACCAGATAAGCTTTGGACATTCGATACAGACGAAAGGTGCTTTCTTTGGTTGAAGAGGAAGGTTAGGGGTCAGGTCCCTTGAAAGGGAGTGCTCAGATGTTCGACGTAGAAAGAGAAGACACGAAACGTTGCGTCGAAGTACCGTGGACATTTGTCTCTGTAAAAAGAAGTATCACGAAAAGCAATTGGTCGTTGACTGCACGAATCGATTAACTCCACTTTTTAAAGAATCTTAAATTTAAGTTGGTATACTCATAACTTTTTATATATTTAGAATAATTAGATTAGATTTATAATAACTCGAATCTTTATGCAAAATAAAATCGCACGTGCCTACAAAAATTGAACCTAAATAGGAATTTATTTTATTCTGCAAATATTATAACATGAACTTTACTTTCAATCTTTTTTATATTCTTGCATAGTGTTTGCATTTTGTAGTTTCTTGTACGGTCAAATTTCCTATAAATGCACAAATATCTGCAGTCTAATAATAACCTTCCTGAATAATAAAAATGAACACCATTAAACGACAAAATTTTGTTGGCCATAATTTATTTCAGAGGCCATTTCTCATCGCATTTCTCAACTTTTTAGGAAAAGCCTTCAACTTTTATGGGATTAATCAATTTGTGCAACGAAGTGCTTAGTTAACATTCCATTTCATAACATAGTTTCCTCTCTGAACTATCGCGATTCAGCTTCGTCGAAACGACGTTAATTAAAAATATCAAATCCTATCGATCAGATAACCTTAGGACGTTCGATACCAACGAGATATGCTTTCGGTTCCGTGGTTGAAGAGGAAGTTTAAGGGTAAGGTCCGTTGAAAGAGAGTACCCAGAGATTCAGAGGAGAAAGAGAAGACACAAATATTGCACCGTGTTTTGCGACTGCGTCGAGGGAGCGTGGATCCTCTGGCGGATCCAAGTTTCGCATCAGTTTACAGCGCGCTCTCGATTTCGTCGAACTGAAGCCTCGTGGTCGAACCGTCGGTGTCGTTTCACCTCGAACAACAAGGAACTTCATCATTTTCCCATCGCACCACCCTCGACTGACAAGCAATCGCTCCTTGCAACGAAATTAACTCGAAACATCCGCGCCCGAAAAACAAAAATCGCGCCGCGGGTTAATTGTGTTTACTTTCCGCGATTTTTCTCCTTTGTCGGTTCGATGCTTATCAAAATTCCGCGCGCGTGATTTCGGGTGTCGCGTCCGAGGAACCCGATTGGCGTGACGTTTCGCTGGTAAAAATTCAATGGTCGAAAATTGAATTTCTGAGCCGGTGTTTGTTTTCGCGGGGCCCGTACATTTTCCGAAGGATAATCGAGTTTCCTTTGATTTCGTGAAACTCGCGAGCCGCGCGGGCGAATGGCGGGCGTGTGTGGGCTCGTGAAACGAAACGAAGGTCCGTTTCGCGTGTCCTCGCCGAGGTAAACATTCGAGGGGAGAAATTAAGCACTCGACACCGCGGTGGAACCCCGAGTCCTGGGAAGAAGGCAGGAAGGAAACGCCACCTCGGGACACCGAGCGAGAAAGGTAAACCGTTTACGATGCCTCTTATTGAATCGAATCGTCTGTAAAGATCATCCGATCTGTAAAGATGACTCGATTAGGGCGGTCGATGTAAATTTACATTGAAATTCAATTACGACGCGACAGAGAAGTAAACGGTTCTGTGATTTACATCTTTGCGGCAGAATTATCGTAAAATGTGCCTGTTTTGTGAATATATAGTTTATGGTAGATGGTTTAAGGTGACGCGATGGTTTTTGACTGTGCACTAAGGTAAATTAAATTGAATTATGTAGGACTTGAAGAGGGGGGACAGAGTTTAATTAACACGTTGACTGCCAGACTGATGCTCTTGAAAATTTCTATTGTGATTAAGTTTTGTTTCTAGGCTATTAGAAGCTACATAATCAAACATTTATTGTGGGATTTATTTTTATAACATCGTCGAAGTTTAAGAATTTAATTCAAATTTATTTTCTTTGTTACTGAACATTCAAAATTAATTTTGTTTGTTCTTCAGTGAAAAGCACTGTCACCTATATATGGGTGACATGGCGATCTACGTGTTAAAAGAAGGATATACAGGGTGATGAAAAATTATGGAAATCCCTAGAAACAAAAAAAAATAAAGGTCACATTTCAGGTGAATTTCAACGAGTAAATTTAAACTCGCGAGATACCTAGAAATCTCTTCCCCCACCCTGTATATCCTTCTTCTAATATAAACTCAATCCTCCCTCTCCAAGTCCTACATAATTTAATTTAATTAAATTGAATAGTTCCCATTAAGAGAAAACAAGTTCACCTTGAATTGACCTTGAAATCGAGGTTCAAGGTCAAATCCAAGGTCACCATTGGATTTCTCGAGTTACCTAAGGTGTGACCTTTGTTTTCTTTTACGCGAAATATCTAAGGGTTGTTTTATTTACGCGAAATATCTAGGGGTTTCCATACTTTTTCCCCACCCTGTATATGAGGTTTATCGAAACTTCACAACATACAATACACGCAGATAAGTGTAAATGCCTTCAGCTGCGCCGCTTTCCGGAACTCGGTCTGTATGTTGTTCAAACACGCACTAACTCGCATAACGCGTCACGTCACGCGCTTTTTCGAGAACGAAGCGAAAAGAGGTGCATCGCCACTTTAATATAATCGATCTTTCCCGGAATTATTCCTATAATTGTATGCTGCAAAAGGAAGTTCAAACATGCATCCGTTTGTAAATGAAGTAAAATCAACAAACGACAGATTCTCTGACAATTTGGAATGGATCAATGTAAACAATTTAAGCATTCCAATTGCATTTTAACGAACCAAAATTAACGAAAGGGTGAATATTCAGAAGCTCAGCAATTTAACCTAACAAAACGTCGATTGAATATTTTTACACAAAGTATGGTTATAAATAGACTACGGATCTTTGTGCATTTATAGGAGATTTGAATGTCCAAGAAAATAAAACAGGTTGAAAGTAAAGTTCATGTTACAACATTTGCAGAATAAAATAAATTTCTATTTAGATTCAATTTTCTATTTATAAATAATTGAATATATAGGCACAGGATTCATTTCTACGCCTAATACTTTGTTTCTATTTGATGCAACTAACGCGTTCCATGATCATAACGTCAAATTTCGCAAATATTTAACGATAGCGACGTAATTGGCGAGTTACGATTTTGTAACTTTGGCCACTCGTTCATGTTACGAAGAAGTTTCGACATTTAGCTTCCAACGGTTGTCATGATGTGCATTTTATCTGTGCAAGCAATGGTAGGTGAGATAGTAACATTTTACGGCAGTCTCCCTCAGCAAGAATTTCGTGACTGGTGCTTTCGAGGGAGCGCTGCGAACAGTCGGACGAAAATTTTGATGAAACCGAGCACAAATGTTCGTTGGCCAAACTTTACAACTATACTGTATTTCGTAGCTGCTGGTTTTCAATTCCAGACGAGAAACCACCCTTTACATTACGGAAATTCACTTCAGTCGTCCTCGAATAACTGTTAATTCACAAAAAACAATGAAAAACATTTTAAACAGAATTTTCACTTTAATCACTCATTACAAATTATCTATTTCATTTATACCTATGTCAAGGAATTGTAAACGGTATTGAAAAATATTCTACTGTTAAAAAGTTATCATTAAAAGAAATATTTCATAAAAATTTCATAAAAGCAAAGCGTTTCTTCTTTATATTATATCGTATATATTTTGATTACTTCAAACAATACTTTTTCAATACTTGGCATATTTTTTTCTTTTAGCAAGAACAGTTCGTTAAATGTTTGCATAGTTTCTCTAAGAATATTCCTCTCTTGTATAAAATGTTCCTCTTCCATTCTGAGCTTATTTCTCCCCAGAGTTCGAATTATATTTGCTCTTATTACAGTTTTCCACATCGACGAAACGGTTCTAAGGTCCCAGTTATACTTTTGTCTTTTGAATATACAGCAAGCAATTTGAAATAAAATGAATAAGAAAAGAAATAAGAGATTAGCATTAGAAATAATAAACTTTAGTTTACGCAAATTCTACTCTAAAAATATGTAGGACTGTTAATCATTTCTTCCCCTAAAATTTATTAATAAAATAAATATATATTGTTTTATTTTGAATTGGTTTTTCTAGAAATACTTATTACACTGTAATTGCACTGTTTGTATCGCATAATTTTTTTTCTTCAGAAACGTCTTCTTTATTATCGTATCTTTCTTCGCGAACTACCCCTATTTTGTTTACATTGGGAATAATTGAAAATTCGAGATCTAAATAAAGAAAATATAATAAGTAACTAGTTCTTTCGTCCGCATTTTGATGCGACTAGCCTAATCCAAACGAAACAATAGCCATCGACGGTGGATTACTTTGAACCTCGAATCCAACTCTCAGAATGTCGCGAACCTAATTGATAAGTAAACACCTCTTGCGTGGCGAACACGCTGGACGTTACAACGACACACCGTCGTACTACGAGTGGCTTTCTAATTTTAAACGTTAATGCCTTCGATCCGCCTACACGTGATCGCGATACTGTTAATGCCGCCTTGAATTAACATGGCGGTCATTTGCGAGGCGCATCTGTTTTCACGAGCAATTCGCGCGGGCTCGGCCCGCGGCCGATAAACATCGAAGGATACACACGTGTCGAAACTCGATGACGTTAGGCGTATTGTAGCGTAGTCGGCGCATCACTCACGTCGAGTATTATTTTCCCTCGAAATCTTGGCTAAGGTACGACCATCTTTCTTATAATTATTTTGGCTACAACTTCTTCCATTTCAAACATCTTTTTATTTTGAAACTGAAGCTTTAAGAAGTTGAATTGAATCACTTATTTATGTATGGAAAGTTCCAGGACGGATAAAAACAAAAGTTCGTTTTGATTCTTCATCGTTTCATGTTTTTTAAGCGGCTTAGCGAGCGGAATGGTCGTTACTCCCAAAGTCCCTTTTTAAATCTTTAAAGAAATCTGCATTAGTATAGATAATCTTAATAAATATCAAAGAACGTGACCAACTTTCAAAGTCCCTTTTTAAATCTTTAAAGAAATCTGCATTAGTGCAGATAATTTTA